TGGCTGCCTCCTGCGCGCCCCATATTGGGAATTGTACCAGTGACCTCTTGGTGCACGGGACAAAGCTCAACCAACTGAGAATTCTCTCTCTAAAATCAATTTTTAAAAAATATTTTTAGCCCTGCCAGGCATGGCTCAGCAGTTGAGCATCAACCCAGGATCCAGGAGATCGCAGCTGAATTCCTGTTCAGGGCACATGCCCGGGTTGTGGGCTCCATTCCGAGTAGGGGGTGTGCAGGAGGCAGCCAATCAATGACGACTGTCTCATCACTGATGTTTCTCTCTTTCTCTCCCTCTCCCTTCCTCTCTCTGAAATCAATAAAGATATATTTTTAAAATATATATACCTTTTTACTATATACTTAAGATGTTTTCTGTACTATATGTAAATTGTACTCAATTAAAAAAGAAAGATAAACCTAGAACACCTTGTGCTTGAGTAAAGACGTGCTCTAAGAATGATGGGAACATGTGAAAGGGCACAGGGGCCAACTGGAAAGAACTTACTCTGGCCATGTTTAAGACAATTTGTGCATCAAAAAGAATAATGACTCGCCCTGGCCAGTGTGGGTTCAATTGGTTGTGCATCATCCCATGCACTGAAAGGTTGCTGGTTTGATTTCCGGTCAGGGTACATGCCTGGGTTGTAGGCTCCATCCCCGATAGGGTGGGGGAGGAAGTAGCCAATCAATCAATGTTTCCCTCTCACATCGATGCTTCTCTCTCCCTCTCCCTTCCTCTCTCTCTAAAAATAAAATTTTTAAATCTTAAGAAAAAATTGTATTGCACTACATTGCATGAATAAAAGTCCATGAGTACATAATACTCATAAAAGAAAGAAAAAAAAACATTTTCCCCCATCCAAGTTTAAAACTTCCCTTAACAGAAAGCTTTCAGACATTCCCTGGGGAAATGCACCTTCAACACAGACCTCAACGAATTCTCACAGGCATACTCCACAATCAACAATTACAAAACACACGAGAAAACCATGTCTCATGACCCAGGGTGAGGAGAAACAGTAAACAGAAGTAGGACTTCAAAAGACATCAAATACTGGAAATATTAGATGCAGAATACAGAATAGGTATGGTTAATATGCCTACAAAATAAAAACAGATGTCTAAAACATGAAACTACAAAGGTTTCTCGGAGAAGACATTAAAAGCAGTAACTATAAACAAAGATTAATTGGACTTTATTAAGAATTCCCTTTCCTCAGAAGACTTCATTTAGAAAGTAATGAAGCAAGAATAAGTTAGGAAAAGAATTTACAATACACATATCCAACAAAGAACTTTCATTCCAGACGTGTAAAGAACTCCTAAAATAATGGAAAGATAAGCGTTCTTCTGCTATTGCAAAAACATCTCAGGATAATTTGATGTAGCACTGTGCCTATATTATACTTTTATAAAATAAAATATTAAAATGTTTAGTGTAAATAAATGGAAGTGGTCTGCTTCCGGGCAAAGCCTAAACGGACTATAGCAAATCAAGAGTGCTGACTTATTGCCCCGCGGGTGTGGCTCAGCGGTTGAGTATCAACCTAGGATCCAGGAGATCTCGGTTCAATTCCTGGTCAGGGCCCATGCCTGGGATGTGGGCTCGATCCCCAGATGGGGCCGTGCAGGAGGAAGCCCATCAATGACTCTCTCATCATTGACGTTTCTGTCTCTCTCTCCCTCTCCCTTCCTCTCTCTGAAATCAATAAAGACATATTTTAAAAAAAAAAAAAGGAAACAAGATGGCGGGTAGGTAACAGCTGCACCTGCCGCCTCCCGCAACCACATCAAAATCACAACTAAAATCCAGAACCACCGTCACTCAGAGCCTCTTGAAATCCGGCTGCACAGAAGCCCCACAACCAGGGAGCTGAAGAAGCACCCAGACGGTAGGAGGGGCGGAGACGCGGGCGGGTCGGGGCTGAATTGGAGAGGCGGCCGCCGGGCCCACACCCGGTGCACACCAGGTGCCGCAGGTTAAACCCGGGAGGGAATCTCCGGGCAATGGTTCCCGGAGGAGGGAGGGGTCCCAGCCCCACAGCAGGCCCCCAGCCCAGGACTCCAGGCCCGGGAAGAGACGTCCCCACAACTCCAGGCTGTGAAACCAGCCGGGACTGTGGCTGAGGGTGGCGGAGGCTGCGGGAGCCCCAGCAGCTCCTCTCAAAGGGCCCGGCACGGACTCACGCGGACGCTCCCTCTGAGCCCAGCGCCGGGCAGCAGCCTGAAAGGACCCGGGACACTCGGGGAGGAACTAACCTGCCTAAAGTCGGGGCGAGAGCTGGAGGGGCGGCTTCCTCCCAGGCAGAAGGGCTGCCGGAGGCCATGGCTCCCTTGGAGAGTCCTCCCCACACAGCCCGCAGGCAGGCGCCATATTTGAGTCTCCAGCACCTGACTCACGCCTCTGGCCCCGCCCCTCCCCACCTGCAGCTCATCCAGGCCATTTCCAGGGTCTTTTCTGTGCAAGTGGCCTCTCGAGCCTCATGCTTAGGACTTTCCTAAAAATCTCTCAAACAAGCAGCAGCTGCCCCATACGGCTTGATCAGCGGCCCCAGGCCTGGCACTAGCGGCAGCCTGCAGTGGCTCATAGCTTGGCCTCTCCTGGACACCGCCAAGCCCAGCACAAGTAGCAGCCAACTACGGTTTGCTGAGTAGCTCATGCTGGCTGGCCCTGGGCAAGGCACTGGCAGAGGCTGACTCTGCACCTCCTGGGATGCCCCAGAGACAGTGCACCTGGTGGTCAGACTCGACCACACTGGATTACGACCCTGCCACATCCACCAGTGACACACTCAAGGGGCGCACTTGGTGAACACCAAAGCTCCTCCAATGAAGTGAGTCCTGAAACACAGGGGTGTCTCCAGCACAGCAGCTC